CCAATACGCTGCTGTGGCCGCTGCCGAATCGTTACGTCGTGTCAGCAACTCACTGGTCGCTTCGCAATCCGCTGGTATGTCCACTGATTTTTTGGCATTTTCGGCTCCACAGCTTTATTGAATCTTCCTTCATTTTCGGTTGCTTGAAAATATTGTCGAAACCATTTATTTGAACACGCTCCCTGCAATGTTATTCGTGTTCGGTTGCATTTTGTGTTTTCGTTTGGTTGTATTTTAATATTTAGATGCATACAAAATTATAATAGTCAATGAGTTGTGAAGCATGAAAAGAAGAACGCGAAAATGATGCGACAATAAAATAATAGTATGATGTGCATAGTGGTGAAAGTTAAATGAATGCACAAGCGTAACTGTAAACAACTGAACCGTATGCGAGTAGTAATTGTAACTGGTAAACAACTCTGATTGTTGTGTTGATGTTTGCTAGGTTTAAACCAGCGCTCCAATGGATTGTAGTTGTCCTCATTGATTTCGATGAAATCACCCCAGTATCGTTCATTTCGTTGCGTTCGTATCTGAAAATATGTTTAAGTATTCAGTTTAGGAGCCATACAAGTCATAATCTGCATTTTGTCGTTTTTATTCATCAATTGAAACAACTACATATTTATATTTGGTTCGAAAATTGTTCACTGAAGAATGCGCACGATCCACATTTGTCCTGCCTGCAATTTCATTTGACTTTCACTCAAAATTTTGTCTTCATTAATTTACGAACAATTCGTTCAGTTTTATCGTTAGTCGTTAATTAAGCTGTGCATTATTTGCAGGTATTCCGTTAACTGCCCTAGCAGCTCACCAACTCGCCACTGCTGCTGCTAATCAGTTACAGCAAAACACATCACTTTGTCAGAGTCATCCAAATCTAACAGGTGATTTTTCGATAATTTACTTTGATCTGATTAAGCGGATGCTTAAAATAAGTGCACAGTTGCCAAAAAGTTTACTGATATGGCATACACGTTATCTTTTCTTCAGTTTTCAAGCGATCGTCAGAATCTTTCAAATTTTGATGATGAGAAATGAGGGTGGTGAAGTTTCAGGTGAAATGGCTTTGGTATCACATGCTCAAGCAGCTTCTGCAATCGTGGGTGGACCACAGCAAATATTTGCCACACAGAGTGCATCAACAGCAATCGGTAAAGAAGCTTCACACGTGGCTGCAATTACCTCAAAAAGTGCAAAACACGCTCAACAGGTAACTTTTTTCGATGAGCTTTTCTCTTCGCAAAGTAATTTTTCCGCTTACATATGAAAATATTCGGTTTCTCGGTCTCATTTGCTTCGGTTTTTCCTCTATATTAAGTTTTTGATGACTGATTTTTTTCTATTCAATGAGATTTTGATTCATTCATCGTTTCATAAGCGGATTTTTTGTATCTTGACGAAACTGCGTGGCTGTTTANGATAAACACCCTATTGAAAGCGTTGACGGAATTCTGTCGCTATACAAAATCATTAACTGTTTGAGATTTGACTTTTCCGAGCAAATATGTGATTTTACCTATGGGAATTCACTATTATAAAATGTCTCATTCCTCCAACATTTCCAGTGTCATTCCTTTTGTCATTAATTAATTCCTCAGATTATCTCAAAATAAGGCACTTTCGTCAATTTTGATTGGTGTTTGAATAACTCTATTACTATCGTTCAATTCAAGTGGTCATATG